ACTAACGCGGTTACCCAAAAATCCTCCAAGGGGACCCTTTTCAAGGGGGCCCTGGGGCCATGCCGCCTTTTCAGAGACACCTTTAGAGTGGGGTGGTGGTTCCGCTGGGTCCTAAAAGGACCCGCTCCCATGCAACAGAAAAATCAATGATTTTGGGTATTATATAAGAGGGGACCCGGTGGGACTTTGCCCAAGGATACAGATTTCTTTTTAATGGAAAATCAACGTAAAAAATTATTGTAGGAAAGAATCAGTTGCTTTTGAAGTTTCCTTTAACAAAAAGTGTTACTCTATAAAACAAAAGATGATCCCTCAGCAGTAACCCTGGAAAAAAAGGGGAAATCCCAGAATGTCCTAACCTTTTCTATTATCTTTTTCCCTCCCACAACCCCTAGATACCATAATGTGTTCATGTAGACAAAGCAAAGGAGAGAAAAAGTAAAGATAAGGTAACCCCAGAAAGAGGACTCTGTTAGAGACTCTACCTAAGTTATTAGCTAGGGATTCTTATTATACAGTTTATAGAGATATAAAAAGATGTGTCAAAAATAGAACATACCTTGTCATCTCCTCCTTCTGCCCCTCTGACCATATCTGGTGCCACGTGTTCAATAGTGCCACAGAACAAACACAACAAATCGAGGAGGTATGACAGGCGACAGTTTCTGGTGGGAGGCAGGAAATTTTGTAGGTCATATTTTATGAACTATGATATAAAAAGGCTAGGAAAACATAGCTAAATTCTATTGTGATTACTGTTTATTGTAGCACCTAAAAAGAAATATATGAAATACCGACCATATTTTATTTTTATTTATATATGTATATATCATAATTAAGTAGTTTTAATATATTTATTAGCATCGACCTATGACACCAGGAGGTCACAGTTTGATTACAGTCAGGGCACATCTAAATATCCTCTCTTTTTTTTGGCCTTCCTTCTTTTTTTTTTCTTCGCAAAATCTTTATTGCTGAGAGCATTACAGATGCCCCTCTTTGCCTTCAGAGCCCCCATCCGCCCAGATCCCACCCCATTCCAGGCCTTCACAACCCCATTGTCTGTGTCCTTAGGTAATGCATACTTGCATGTAAGATTTTTCCTTATTACTTAGACAGGCTCTTTCCAGCCTTCATTTTGCAAATACAAAGAAAGTGGGGAGGAAAACATTGAGCTCTTTAGAGCAGCGGTTTTGTTTATTAGATTTCTTGTTCATTTATTTTGATTTTTAAATTCAGTTGCTGATACAGATGTATTTATTGCCATTTTGTTGTTCACATTTTTTATCTTTTTTCTTCGTCTTCTTTCTTCTCCCTCTTCCTCTTCCTCTTCCTCTTCTTCTTCTTCTTCTTCAAGAATACTCTTCAACATTTCATATAATAGTGGCTTGGTAGGGATGAACTCCTTTAGCTTTTTCTTGTCTGTGAAGCTCTTTATCTGACGTTCAATTCTAAATGATAGCTTTGCTGGGTAATGTTGGTTATAGGTTCTTGTTATTCATCACTTTCATTATTTTTTGCCAATCTCCTCTGCCCTGCAAAGTTTCTGTTGAGAAATCAGCTGACAGTCATATGAGTGCTCCTTTGTAGGTAACTAATTGCTTTTCTCTTGCTGCTTTTAAAATCCTCTGTTTTTCTTTAAACCTTCACATTTTAATTATGATGTGGACCTCTTTGGATTCATCTTGTTTGGGACTTACTG